TTCTTGGTTTTCTAGCTTGGATCAATCAATTTAAAAGGAATCCACACTTACCAAAGCAAATATCAGCTTCGAAGGTTGGTTAACTCTAGATACAATTCTGTTTTGAGCTTATTTGAATAATCATAGTGTAGATCTTCAAGTTTTGATTGATTTTGGTGATTTTGATCTTTGTGATTTATGATCTCAATGCTTGATTAAGTTTGATTGATGTTTGATCACTGATTTTTGGTGTTAAATTCGTGCATAATTGATTACATGATCATTTGGATGATTGCACATTGAATTAATTGTTGAAAGTGCTTTTGAATTGCTGTTTTTCTACTTCTGGTGCAGTGTTAATCGATTAACCAGTGCATTTTCTGAGTTTTTTAAGTGGTTAATCGATTAACCAATTTGCACTAGTAAATAGTTAATCGATTAACACTAGACTAGAATGTGACTTTTGGTTGTTTTCAAGCATGTTTTGATTTCTTTCCACCTCTAACCTTCATGGATTGATATGATGCATTTGTGTGGACTGTTCTTGACTTGTTTCATCATGCTTGATTGTTTGATCTCGATTCTTCGACGCATAAATTTTGGTTTCCGTTTGAATGCTTAACACATTCATGTTGCTTGATTGATGTGATGATCATATGCTTTTCTTTCTTGTATCATGTTAATGATTCATTCTTGATGATTATCTTGATGGACTTGTGATGCATGTTTGTGTTTGCTTCCGTTTTCGTTTGTCACATGATTATTTAATCGCGTAATTGATGTGAAAAGAATGTTGATCTTATTGATTCTTGATGATGCAATATTATTGAACATTGGTGTTTGATTGTTGATGCATGTCCATTCTTGCATGATAATTGTTCATGATTGGTGTTCGCTCATACTTGATTACATTGAGACATGCTTGCTGCCCTGCTTTCTATAGCTGTGTTATTCTGAATTTGCATGTTGTCTTTGTTATACTTGCTTGCTGCCTGCCCTTTTATACCTACTTTTATGCTGAATTAGTAGTTGTTAAATGTTGTTGTACTGCCTTGTTGGATTTTATTGTTGTTTTGTGTAGGAAGCGTTATTGTAGTTGCTACTTTTACCTTGTTTTCTTGCTTTTTGCCTTGCCTTTGCATGCTCCCTTAGGATTCCTATTCCAATTTAATTTCCGATTAGTTTTGGATTATGATAGACATTAGGAGTGCAATCCATGCATGATAATAAGTAGGCTAGTCCCTTTTAACCTTAATGTTAGGTCCATCTTTTGCATGCTAACATTAGGATAGAATTCCCTTTCGCATCCCGACCTTAGGACCACTTTGCATGACAATGTTAGGACCGAGTTTCCCTTAGACCTTTCGTGCGTCTTTCTCTCTTCTCATCTCAAAACAATTCTAACACACTTAATAAAGACGATGAACATAGTCCGCCACGAGCCTCAAGCATATGAGCAATGATGAGTGGAGGGTTTCTCATCACTTGTCTAGAGTGTTTAGTGAATGCTCCGTGGGTGATATGCGACGCATTCGCTCCTATATCATAGTCTTTAGTGCAACATGAATCACAAAGCAAACTAATTCACTTCGCTAAAACTCACAAACAAAATTCAAACCTTTTTATCCTTCAGGATTTGTATTTCAAAACCATTTTTAGAAAGAGTACGTTACTTTTCTGTTATACCGCAAATAGGCATCGACCCTAAATGCTGGAATAGGAACTTATCGTCGCTCATAAAAAACACTTAACCAACATGTGGTTTCGTAGTTACCCGAACTACGTTTGCTCTAATTTCTCATACCAGGAGAGATTACGTAGGTACAAGACAACAATGTCTTCGCGAGCAACCTTTCCCCCATCACCCGTAGTTTTCTGAACTACGTTGACTGTGACTTTCCCATTGCACGAGGGAATATGTAAGCATAAAGCGGCAATGTCCTATCGAGCCTCTTTCTTTTTCATTGCTCTCGTTTCCGTTTAGCAGTAACTTTTAGATAACTCACCCTTTGATTAGACAACAAGCATGGATCCCGTTGAGTACAACGAACGTGAGGGATGCTCATACCTTCCCCTTGCGTAACCGATTCCCGAACCCAATATTTGGTTGCGATGACCTTGTCTTTTCCTGTTCTTCAGGTTTTCTTTGACCGTTTCCTTTCCCTGTGTTGGAATAAATAACGTTCGGTGGCGACTCTTCTGTTTTTCCGCTGGGTGTTTTTTGCATTTGTGACAGAAGGTTATTCCTTTTGCTGTTGTGTTACTATGTTGGGTTAAATTTGTTTTGTTAACTTGGATTCTCATATTTTCCTTTTTTGAATGTGATGCAGGCAGTGACTAAATTGTCGATCAATGGTGATGTTTCTTCAATCAACAACTTTGTTAAGAGGTTGTGTTTATGCCGCATATTTAGGTTCCATGGTCTTCTATTTATATTTACTCAATTTTGCCTTTATTCATGTGTTTTAATGCAGCGTCCATGATGATTCTGTCGTCACACTGTATGGACAAACATCTTCGCATTCTTCCCATAACGCATACAATCCCCAACAATCTCCCTTTCAGAAACTGCTTTCCAAAGCAATTGTCATGCCTCTAAATGAAATATGTAAACTTCCTAAAGTATACAATATCTTTTTTTCTATTATCTAAATGACATTGACAATTTGCTCATGCTTGCATGGTTTCTTAATGTTCACTGGTGTTGTTGTTTTTAAATTAACGTAGATTACTTTCTGTGTGACTGTTGCAACTACGAAAAAAATCATTGCGTCACAACATGGCTAGTATTATCAGGCATGCCATGAATGCCCAAGGGTTTCTCGTGGGGATAAGCCACCTTTTATGTGTGACAACGGACATTCCACAAAGGCTGAGATTTATAGGTTTCATTCATTTAAAGTCTGCTAAATTAAACTTTGGCTGAATTCTTTATCGTATTATTCAATTTTAACCCTTTTTTGTGGTGTTATGTCAGGTACAAGACTGAGATAGAGGTTACTTATGATGGGAAGTGTTGTAAATTTGTTTTCTGGGATAGGGAATGCCTCAAGTTGTTAGGAGTATCAGCGGCTCAAATGCGTGATATACTTGTGATGGTTTGATCCTCTATTTAAACTTGCATTCTGAATGAATGGCTTTGGTTGCTTCCCTCGTTGCGGATTATAAAATTTCATGTTGTAGAAAGAAATTACTGATCCGCTAGAGTTCCCGTTGACACTTGATGCAATGCTGGATTTGGAAATTGCATTTAAGGTTAAGTGGCAGCCGCGGTGGGAAAGTTGTTCTGTTGTGATGCTTCTTCAGGATGATGCTTATGTCAAACAGCTTAAGTCTTCTTGGGAAGCAAGTCAGGTATCATGTATCTTATTTTACTATGAATGCCATGTTTACTTTCATCAAACAGAATGTGTTACTTTTGTTATTTCTGCGTGAAGGCTACAACTTCTCAGCCAGCAGCTGCGTCATAGTTGTCGCAGGTGTTGTTTCTGGTTATCTATTGAATTATACCTCATTATTATGGCCTTTATAATTTCTTCCTTTGTTACACTGATGTCGGTTTTCCTGTTTAGATCAAAGAGAGTGTTGGTGAGGTCAAATATGGTACGATTGATGACTCAAGGGTAGTTGCGGTATGCATATCAACAAAACTACACAAATTTATCAAATAATATTGCCACTGCATTTTCGCTATTTTAATGGTTCCAGGACGTGGAGATTACATCTAGGTGTGACCCTGAACGTGTCACACCAACTTCAAAGAGGCAGAATGCAGATTCTGTTGATGAGGTCAAGTCTGGTTCTGTAGAGGACTCAGGGGTGGCTGCGGTGTGCATATCAACTAAGCTACACAAATTTGTAGAATATCTGTGTTACTCAATTCTTAATTGCTTTTCACTTTTTTTGGGTGCCAGGATGTGGAGATTACATTCATTTCTGACCCTGAACCCATCACACCGACTCTGAAGAGGCACAATGCAGATTCTGTTGATGAAGTCGAATCTGGCTCCGTGGAGGCCTTAGGGATAGTTGCGGTATACATATGAACTAGGCTACACCAATTTATTACAAGCTTATTGCCACTATATTTTTTTGGTGTTTACATTGTTTCTATGGTGCTAGGACGTCGAGATTACATCCATTTGTGACCCTCAATCCGTTGCACCGACTTTGAAGAGGTAAAATGCAGATTGTGTTAATGAGATCGGGTCTGATTCGGTGAAAGACTCGGGGGTGGCTGTGGTATGCATATCATCTAGGCTATACAAATTTATTACAAACTTATTACAAATGGATATCTTGATATGTTTTTTCTTTTTTCTATATCTTGATGTGTTTTTTCTTTTTCTATGCTTCCAGGACATGGAGATTATATCCACGTGTGGCCCTGAACCTGTCATACCGACATTGAAGAGGCATAATATTTTTGCTTTTTCTAGAAGATTGTGGGTTGTTATTCAAAATTGGACTGACTGACAAGATGAAGGACTCAAATGGAGTTTGCCTACATTCATTTACCACAACCATCAGCGAAAGAGAAAAGATGGGCGAGATATTGTTGGATTTATATGGTTGGCAACAACATGGAATCTTTGGCTTGCAAGGACTGCAATGATGTATCAAGATGACATTTTCAACTTTGAAGACGGTTTATTGTCTATTAAATTTCTATCGTGAAAATAGTTTTTGTAGATTGCAAAAGTCATATTCTTTGTAACTTTTTGGATTGTTTTTCTTCTACTTTAAACTATATTAAGAATAATTATCAAAAAATAATAATAATTATTAAAAATTCACACATATTAAAAATTAGTATTTGAATTCTCATGTTGACGTTCAAATATAAAACATTGACATTTTTATTAGTTGATTTAAAATTTGAGGAAAAAAAAAAGCGATAATATGAATTTTTATATATAAAAATAAAATAATGAGTTTTAAAAGTTCCTTTGGAGTTGAAAAAAAGTTTTGTTTGTTTAAATTGATGTAGGAGTGTGAAAAGGAAAAAATGATTGTGTTCGATGGCTGCGTACAATTTTGGAACAGTTTTGAGTTGTTTGTCTTCCTCAAATCGCCAACCTAATCTTTCCATTCGTTTCAACCCTAATTTCATTTCTATTAGCACCAATCTGTCTCTCCGTTTCATTACTAGTAACAGTAATGAGCAACCAAAACATCCCTGTTTCAGGTCAATATTCTGTGTTGCCGCACTCATACCTCAAAGGCTTCCCACCCGACTACATGGATTGCTCGCCGATGATGATTCTGTAACCGTTCCTCCACCCCAAGAATCACACAATTCTGAACCGGTTAATCTCTCTCTTTCTCTTTTGCTTTAGGGTTTCCTGTTTTTTCTGATTATTTGGACAATTTCAGTAATCTCTTATGCTTGACATACGCAGGATGCTAGTATTGACTTAAATCTTCCTAGAAGAAGTTTGCTCCTACAATTTACATGTGACTTGTGCGGTGAAAGAACTAAGAGGCTTGTTAACCGATTAGCTTATGAAAGGGGTGCCATTTTTGTTCAGGTATACATTACTTCTTCATTCCTCTCACCAACCTCTATGTTTTTACTCACTTCTACTAGTATTTATTTCTCCTTCTAAACATAACATGTACATTTCACAAGATTATTGACGAGCTTGTTTGGACATCTCCTTGACTTGTTATAGTTATAAGGGTACCATATGTTGTGGATATTTTTTTGTTGCAAGGAAAGGTGAATAAATGAAAAAGTATGTGGGTAAGGGTGTCATGTCGATAGTGGCTCCAAAATCAAGGATCCAATATCTGATATAGAGTTTATCTGAAGCATTAAATTAAAAAAGAAAAATTGAGAATTACTAAAGGGATATGAAAATGCATGTTGGTTTCTCTAATTTACTAAGGAGTGATCTCAATCTTTCTACTTCATCTTGTGTTGAACCATTAATCTCTCTGATATATTGATTGATGTCATGCTACTCTATCTTAATAAAATAAAATAGGACCAACAAACAATAGTAAGGAGAATCCCAAGCTTCTGTTTTATTCTTTTGCATTAAAAAATCAGATAAATTGTATTGGCATGTGAATAGTGTCGTTGGAAAAAATAGTGTGGCCAGTATAAACGATGTTTTTTTGCTGAATAGTGTTTTGGATCTCAAAGATGCCACAATGAAGGCGAGCAACACAAAAAACAAAAAGGAACCACAATGTAGGCGGACAAACAAATGAAATAGCAATGAAGGCGGAAAAACAAAAATAAACTGCTATAACAACGCCTAGGGTTTAAGTGGAAGCAAGATTCCCCAAGATCATGAGCTCCATCTTAAAATTTGGGTTGGGTCTAACACAATCTTGCAAAACCGGCTTTAAAAGTGAAAGTTGCCCAAACTTTATAAACACCACAAGTAATATCTATCCGTAATGTGAGATTAAATCCAACCCGGTCACACCCAACATGTTGAAAGTGTTAGAGGCTGCAATTAAGTGATCCCAATTGCCGCAGTTAGGTAGGGGCCGACCGCATTAAAAGCGAAATTTCCATCATTTACTTTAACTGGCTAGATATAACATTGCTTATGCTGTAGTACTTAATATACTACTAACAGTTTTCTATTCAGTAATTTTCATTTTGTCTTCTCATTTTCTCCTGAAGTTCAATAATGCATGGAATGACTGAATTTTTGGATTAAGTATGAAAGTGTATTTGTGGCGTTTATATTTGCAGCCAGTTCAATAGCCAAGTGCTTTTTAGATACCTTATTCATTCCATTGTTCATTAAAAACATATATGCAGAAACGCTGTTATTATATCACTTATTCTGTTGTAAGTAATTAGAAACTCCTCTCATTAGTGTGCAGGCTGTCAACGGCATCATAAATTAGTTGACAATCTTGGACTAATCACGGAGTATGATTTTCGGGAGAAAATGAACACAGACTCAGAAGTTGATCAAATTTGATGTGTGGTTCATAACTAGACATTTTTATTTGACATTTTCTGATTATTTTGATAATTCAAAAATTCATATTCATTAATGTCCCCGAGCAAAGATCTGTGACAAATAAAAAGAAAGAATAGTCAGTATTGACACTCATTATTCAGATCTCTACACCTGAAATGGTTTTAAATTCCGCAAACCAAGTAACTGCTTAGAATGAATCCAGAGTACAATGTGCCTGCTAGCTGCTGTAGACAGTTATCGTTAGAAAAACAGTGATAGCAAATCCAGCTGTTGCCCATATATTTCTCCCTTGAGGATGGTTTGATGGTGCGCCATTCTGTGAAGTAAAAAACATAGGATGTGATCAGAACAATGTGATGTTGATGATATGTGTTGGTAAAAGATATGGCTTATATTTAATCTAACTAGCTATATCACTGGTTTATATAATTATATAATTGTAATTTGATATTATAATGGTTCGAGATATTACCAAATTAAGACTAGGTGCTGGTGCCGGTGTTGTGTCGTCATCTGCTTTAATATCAGTTGGTGGTGCAGGGGGACTCTTGTGAATAATTGTTGGTGCTGGCGCTGGTGCATGATGTCTCCTGTGCTTGTGTTTGTATCTTCCTTTTTTGTGCTTGGGGGACTCAGGTGCTGGTGCAGGGGCATTTACTGCAGGTGCTGGTGCCGGTAATGGCGGGGAAGTAATCGGTGTAGGAGCTGGGGCTTGCTTTATGGGTGCAGGTGCTGGCGTTGGTGTTGCCTTTACTGGTGCGGGGGCAGGTGGTGTTTGAACTGGTAATGGCGATATATTTTGTGGTGGTAATGTTGTTGGTGGTAATGGTGGTGGCAACGTAGGAGTTGAGACAGGTGAAGTTTTTGGTGGTTGGAGTGGAGGGACTACTGGACTTGATGGTGGTGAAACCTTTGGAGCTGGTGATGTCACTGGAGCAGATTTGGGTGCTACATTTGCAGGTGGTTGGGTTGAGATGGGGGGAGATGCCACCACAGTAGGTGGTTGTGTAATGACAGGTGGTGTTGCTGTTGGGGTTGTAGGTGGCAACTTTGATGGTGCAGTTGCTGGTGCTTGGGCATTGAATCCTAGCAGGCAGCTGAGGCTTAGTAAAGTAAGAAGCCAGAAAATTGTTGCCATTGTTATTTGTGAATAGAAGAGATACTTTGTTTCTTATTTATTGGCTAAGATCAAGAAGATAGGGAGAAACGTAAGACCAACTCCAATGGGAGTTCTTAGAGTGGGTTTGCCAACATGTCACTCATATTTGTTGTTTCCAAGATTGCCATGTTGTTGAACGGTGCTTAATTAAGCAACGGTTCTTCAACTGTTCTTATATTAAAATATTAATTTTATAATATAAAAATTATAATTTAATATAAAATTTTATTTATCATTTTAATTATCATATGAAAATTATAATTACAATATTAAAATATTGATTTTATAATATGACAACTATATTTTAATTATAAGTTTAAATTATATGTTTAATTTGAATTTTATTTATTTTATTTTTATTTATTTTAATTTTTAATTTTAATTTTTAATTTTAATTTTATTTTAATTTTATATCAAATTTAATTTAAAACACTAAAATTAACTAAGGAGAGATTGAAATATTTTTTAAAATTTAATCTAATTTTTTTAAAGTTTATATAGTAGAATGAAATATTTTTCCTTAAAACAACACTATATACCGGTTGTACTATATAGTAGATTGGAATAATTTTCTATAAAAAAATTAAAATTATTATTTTAAATGATATAAAATTTAATATGAATAAAATATTAACATATAAAGTAAACTTGTGGGACCCAATATGAGTTCTTCAGAATTGCGCCATTGGAGTGAAAAATTAGTTGAGTTGCTTCAAGCTGACGTGGCTTAATAGGTCCCACGAAGAACCCAAAAATGAGTTCACGGTTGGAGATGCTCTAAGGAGTCAGCCATCTGTGGAAGGAGGAATGTAGCCTTCATGTGATTGTGACATCATTTATTGATCTACTAACGCTAGCAATGCAAAATATGTTGGTTCGCAAAATTAGTCGACTTTAGACTCAACTCCCCCGTTCAAATTTAATGTGATGGTTATGGTCTAACTTTCAAGCACGTTATTTTCATAATTTTATTTATTTATTTAGGGAGATAAAATTCATAACATAGTTCATAAAATTGTAAAACGTTGGATTGTTTGATTCATAAAATAAACAAATTTTAACTAGCTTCTAAAATAAAATTATAGGATACATTAGAATTAATGTGATCATTGTACACAAAAAAACTAATCTTAACTTGAATTTTTGATTAAAAAAATTATAATTTTTTTAAATATATTCACATGCTTTTCTTTTTCTCAAAAAATCAATTACAATTCATATACAGAAGAGTAATCGATTCAAGAGGTATTGGAAATTAAACGTAGATTCGATTCAAGAGGTATTGGAAATTAAATGTAGATTCTTGTTGGAATTTAAATTTGACTTAACATATTAAGGAATTTTTTAATCCATCATTTATGTCACTTAGCTACCACACAAAAATATTTAAATGGCCTTAGATTTCGGAGATGTATCTTCAGACATATCTAATGTCATGCAATAGGATGCAAACCACAGGTAAAAGGATCACAAGTTCAGGATCACAACCATGGAGTCTGGGTGAAGAATTAACCACAGGGTGTGTATTAGGAGTAAAGCACTTCCACAACGGGTTCTAACAAAGTTCTCAGAGTCTACAATCCTCTTTTGGATATTACTAACACACTGATTAATCGAGAATCAATAATATTCTCAAGAGAATCTCGTCTGAGTGTAATATCGGGTATCAACTAATTCAGTTTTACACCTTCATAGCCATCACACTACATTCTAAAAGGCCAAGTGGGTAAATGGGATACTAAGGTCCTCAGCTTCTCGGGTTCCCAGGTCGAAAGTAGCAATGTTTTCACGATTACTCGTTCAATAAGTACTACCTTCAAAGGGCCCCCACTAAGTGGGGGATTCTCAAGTCAGCTTGTTCGGGATTACTCCACCAAAGCCAACTTGACTATACCACCCTCTTAATCATAAGAGCTCTCAAGTTCGGGTATATGACTTATCTCACCACACAAAGATCAGCCTGAAAAACAGAAAACCCAAGCAACTGAGCAAACAATAATAGCAACACAAATAGAACAAGTTAGGCTCAACCCACTAAACAATGGTCCCTAGTGAAGTCGCCATTTTTCTGTTGCGGTGAGATCGGAGACCAAAGCTATTGGATTAGCTTGACTCGCAAAAGTAAGATATCACCACCGAACTTTTATTTTTCCAAGGAAAAGGAGAAAAGATCGAACAAAAATCCTAAGTAAACATGCAAAGCAAAAAGCAAGGCATAAAGATAAGTAAAGAGAGATCAAAGGTACGTGGGTTGGTCATACTTAGGAAATGTACTAGCACCCTAAACATCTACAGTACTCTACAGTAACCTCTTGAAATATTTGTGTTTTGGCTAAAAATTGTTTGCTAAAGGTGAAAAGATGGGCAAGAAATACAAAGACAGGAAAGACAAAGCAACAAACAAACAATGGACATGCACAATGACATTAAGTCAACATACAATCCCTTCTCTTGGATTAGGTTACAAGTGTAGAAAGAAAGCAACAGATACATGGAAAATCATCATGTAATCAACAAGCATCAAATAAAGACACAAACACAGAATACATGGTAAAACATCACGTATGATAAAAAAATAAATAAAATCAACAACGTACATGGCAAAGCATCATGTATGAAAGTAACAGATACAAGGAAAATCATCATAAAATAAATAGAGTACACATGGCAAAGCATCATGTGAAAGCGACAAAAGGCACACAGAATACATGGAAAATCATTATGTAGAAACAGGTATAAAGGAATAGTACATGACAAAACATCATGTAGAAACAACTGATACATGGTAAATCATCATGTATGATCAAATAGTAAATGAGATCAACAAACACAGTACATGGCAAGAACATCATGTAAGAAAGACGACCTAGATACGTGGCAAAGCATCACGAATAATAAAGGTATACAATACATGACAAGAACATCATGTATGATCAATAATCAAATGGAGGCATAAAATACATGGTAAAATATCATGTAGAATCGACAGAGATACATGGCAAAGCATCATGTAAAATCCACAATCACACATGGCAAAACATCATGTATGATCAATAAGTAAAATCAACAACATTCACGACAAAGCATCGTGTAAAATCCACAGACAAAATCAACAACATTCATGGCAAATCATCGTGTAGAATGAAATCAACAACACAAAGTACATGGCAAAGCATCATGGACTAAGACAACAAAAATCGACAAAGATACACGAAAAAGCATAGTGTGATCAGGAGCAGATACATGGAAAATCATCATGTAGAAGTGACAATAAATAAAATCCACAAACATTCACGACAAAGCACCGTGTAAATCAGATTAATCAAGGAAAAACAAGACTAAATCAGAGAGAGCAAACACAAAACATGGAAGCAAATAAGTCGCAAAATAAAATCGGACAACGAAAGAATTATTAATCAATTTACAAATACTTATTTAATAAAATTAATTAATAATTTAATTAATCAGTATTAAATAAAAATATTTAAATCGATTAATAATTAACATATTTTTCACATTTTTAATATAATCCTAAATTTAAAAAACTAGAAATGAGAACATTAAAAAAATAATAATGAAATGTTTTTTTTTGGTAATTTCTAATATACAAATAAAATATTAAAGAAAATAATTAAAATGTTTTTTTTAATCTTTTTTTGTCTTTTTAATATTTAGACAAATTAAAATTAAAACACATAATTAAAAAAAGCAAAAATTAGAAATATAGATTTGTTAAAACAAATAACTAAAAATATAAGTAATTATAAAAAATAACTAAAATTATGAAAAATAAATAAATAAGGCAAACAAACTCCCACAAAGAGGGAGTGGGGCGGTG